GAGGGGATGGGAGGGGAGTGGAGGGGGTAGGAGGGGAGGGGTCGACCTTTTACTGATATACAAAACAAATGTGCTGAGACCGGAAATCAGGGTTCATAATTCAGGCGAGTCTTGAGAGAGAGACAACAAACTTCACTCAGCACCCCGCCTCCCAAACAAGGGACCGCCCTGTTCCTTCAACTCTCCACATATCATATTTCTTTCCGAGCAATCGTGCCTTCACAAAAGGGGTAATCCCAGGTGATTTAGATCCGTTGGCAAAATAAAATGTTTCCCATTAGAAACCTGACCATGGCTGAAATTAAACCCTCACGTTACGAAATGCTTAAAGATCGCTGCTGAACAAAATTATAAGGTTGTTGGGAACGTTCTAAAATATAACTCCCAACAGATATGATAAAGACTTGTTTGATCATTTTGTTGCAACGCTCCTTACGTGCCATGCTATTTACTTGTCATGTCACTTACTAGTCACGTCACTAATCACGTCACTAATCATGTCGCTTTCTATTCATGTCACATTTTTGTTACGTCACTCATTTGTCATGTCACATTCTTGTTATGTCACTCACTTGTCATGTCACATTTTTGTCATGGCAGTTACTAGTCATGTCACTAATCATGTCCCTTTCTAGTCATGTCACTTACTAGTTATGTCCCATTTTTGTTTTTTCACTCACTTGTCATGTCACATTTTTGTTTTGTCACTCACTTGTCAAGTCACATTTTTTCTCATGGCAGTTACTTGTCATGTCACTATTCATGTCCCTTTCTAGTCATGTCACTTTCTAGTCAAGTCACTTACTAGTTATGTCACATTTTTGTCATGCCACTTACATGTCATGTCACTCACTTGTCATGTCACATTTTGTCATGTCATTTACTTGTCATGTTACATACACCAAATATGTTAACAGAATGCCCCCCCTCCCCTTAAATCCACCCCTCCCCCCAAAAAACTGCCAAAAAAACCCAACCCACCAAACAACAAAAAATAAACAAATAAGAAAATAAATACATA